CTSAGTCATTTAGGTATARGGTGTCTTTRACATGAACAGACCTGTACTGAAAWTACGATTTTATATACTCTTCTCTCAGTTTTCGCACCAATTCACACTTTCTGTTCAGTTTGGTTGAGATGACAGACTCTAAGGAGTCAAAGATTCCTGTCTTGATCGCCGTGATGATTGTGTTGTTTGTATGYGGAGAGTTYCTACGCCTGGAGCTGAGTCTTAAAGAACTAAGAATGGAAGTCTATAGACTCGACAGCAAGATTTCTGTGTCGCTGAATCAAAACTTGGATGGACTTTCTTCAGAACGAAACGAAAAACAAGGCATTCTCAGGCGATTCGCAAGAGATATTGCATCCGTGAATAACGAATCTACATTGACRTTAAACCAACAACTAACAAAGATTGACCGAAAGATCGCTACAGTAATGTCAAAATTGMAAGCTCAGGCAAGGTTCTGGGTACCGATACCGGGGCCTCCCGGAGCACCCGGGATCAAAGGAGCTCGTGGACCAAGAGGAAGACCAGGTAAAAGAGGAAAGCGAGGACCTCGTGGTTTTAAAGGTGACCCGGGAGAAAACGGAGCCCCTGGTCCCCGGGGTATGCCGGGACCGAAGGGAAGSCCGGGTMCTTCAGTTGCYGCTCCGTCAGTGTTAGTTTCCCCCTCTCTTGTAATCGCAAACGAAAGCCAATCCGCCATTTTTCATTGTTCTGCTACCGGATATCCAAAACCAACGTTAATCTGGAGTAAAGTTRGTGGTTCACTGGCCATCAACAGGACAACCTCATTCAGTGAAACCGGAAAACTGGAGATCAAATACGTCACACCAGCTGACAGGGGGACATATCTGTGCAAAGCAACAAACATACTCGGACGAACGCAAAGAAAAGCGATTTTAGAGGTCAACTTTCCTCCTAGAGTTGAAATGAGCAAAGGACCGATCTACGTCGAGATAGGTAATGACGTCACATTTCCCACGTGTCACGTGACAGGACATCCTAAACCAAAGGTCACGTGGTCACAACCTTCTGGTGCACTTCCAAAACGTCGGACTGTAATCAAGGGGGTTCAACTGACATTGAGAAAATCAACAAAAGAAGATTCCGGACCATATTTTTGCAAAGCTGAAAATCTTCTTGGATCAGTTTCAGCTTGGACAGTTCTTACTGTTTTCCARAAGCCTGTTTTCATCACAAAACCGCCTACATCTTACAGAGCTCGTGTTGGGTCCAAAATTGTAATTCTTAACTGCAGTGCTAAAGGTCACCCTGATCCAGTTATCACATGGAGTAAAGAAAAGGGTGTTCTACCAGTTGGTAGACATGAAGTAAGGGATGGATCTTTGATCTTGAGAGACTTGACAACCGTTGACTCGGGCGTTTACGTGTGTACAGCTACAAGTGCAGGTGTATTTCACACACATACAAGGACCACGCTTAATGTATTAAGTCCTGATTGTTCTGAGCTGTACAAACTAGGAGAGAGACGTAGCGGTGTGTACCGAGTAGAACCCGATAAGAACGGTGCCTTTAAAGTCTACTGCGACATGACAACTGACGGAGGGGGGTGGACTGTGTTTCAAAGAAGACAGGATGGATCGGTAGACTTTTATCGCAATTGGCAAGACTACAAAACCGGTTTTGGAAACCTGAAAGGCGAGTTTTGGTTGGGAAATGACTATATTCATCGACTGACAGCAAGAACAGCGTCGAGTCTTCGTATTGAGATAGAAGACTGGGACGGAACTAGSAAATATGCCAAATATGGTAGCTTCGGTGTTAGTGATGAATCAGACAAGTACAGGCTTAAGATAGGCTCGTACTACTCAGGCAATGCAGGGAACTCATTTCAAAGTGGTATGGACTTGAATAATATGGCCTTCAGCACTAAGGACAGAGATAATGACATAACCTCCACCAACTGTGCAGTTTACTACCTTGGTGCATGGTGGTACAGGAATTGTCAATACTCCAATCTGAATGGTAAATACTTTGGAAATAAGATCGATATTAAGGGAGTTCGCTGGGGAGCCTACAGCGATGTTTCACTGAAAAAAGCTGAAATGAAAATACGACCGAATTCATTTTAATTCACAGATGTTTCAAAAAATGACTTTTGAATTTAAATATAAAGCGAACTGAACTTTTTTTTGTGAATGTAACCAGAAAGAATTTCCATGAACATTGCTTCAACACCATTTATCATATGTAAGAACATTTTGTCATTAGTTTAATCTCTTTTTTATGGTTTTGATTTCACATGTACATATAGCAATAGCATAGTCGTCCTATTCCCATTTTCAAAATATTCATCCTGAGCATCCAATAATTTTTCTAATATAATAAAAAAGGATTCCTTTTGAAAACACCTTAGGACTAGGTTTACACTGATTCTTGTACTTGCTTTGGCTTTTAATAAATTGTTTCGTTAGTTCACTTGTTATTGATGTTCAATTAAATATTTGTTCTCGTAAAAATTCACGAAAAATWATCTGCCACCCTCCCTCCCAAAGTCGTTCACTGTTACCCCCTCCCCCCGAAACGTTAAACGTTATTGTCAGTTTCGGGCGATTTTTTAGTGTCAATATTATCTTAATAAATATAC